TTAGCTTTCAACCCCTAGTGTTAATTTTGCCTGGTTGGCAGCACTTTGCAAAAAGAAACTGTGTACCGTTTCATTTAAAACAATTCTTATCTGGAATAACCACCCTGGGAGCAGAAGTAACGTTTTATTTGCAGAGCCCTGTGGTCTTCCTTAAAGCGTACAAAGATTGATTTTAGTATCAAAATTGTGGAATTCCCTTCGCAGGGAGATTCATCTGTCACCTTCTATCACTGTCTTCCACCAGCAGGAGAAGATTTTTAAACTTTCTTGTGGTGTTCCCTTTCTGATCCCCCCCCTTTTTTATTTATTATTTATTTATTTTTCATATTTGAATCTCGCCTTCCTCAATGGGCTCAGGGTGGCTAACAAGGGCAAGGTCATTTGCCATGCCATAGGTAAAAACAAATAAAACATAGTAAAACATCCGACACTAAAACCACAGTACTCAATCCATTACTAATATCCTAAATCCAAGATGGTAACACCGCAGTTCCAGATAGTACTCCCATAGTATGCGTGTCCATGGCGACGGCTTGTCAGATCTTCAATAGTTTCCAGGTTCTTCCTCGGGCCTCGTCGATGCATCCTTTAAGATACCTTGACGGTGGTGGTATAATGGGGCGGCGGCTCCTACTCAAAGGCCTGGCGGAAGAGCTCCGTCTTACAGGCCCTGCGGAACTGCTCAAGGTCCCGCAGGGCCCGGATCTCCTCCGGGAGCTCATTCCACCAGGTAGGAGCCACCACCGAAAAAGCCCTGGCCCTGGTCGCAGCTAGTTTCACGTCCTTGGGACCCGGGATGACCAACAAATTTTGGGTCCCCGACCGTAGTGCTCTTGGGAAAGCATGTGGGGCAAGGCGGTCCCTCAGGTAGGCTGGACCCTGGGTTAATGTTTTAATTAGGCTTGCTAGCCCTGGGTTGGGAAATACCTGCGGATCTGGAGGGTGGAGGCTGAGGAGGGTTTGGGGTTTGGGGAGGGACTTCATGAACTGACCTCTGTTACCTGGAGATCAGTCGTAATCCAGCCACCAACTGGAAGTTGTGCAAACAGATAACCAGAATACTCCGTCACGCTGTACAAATCATATTTAAGACTACTGTCTTCTTATACAGTTCTGTTTACAACCATAAATGATACACATAACCAGGGCTTTTTTTGTAGAAAAAGCCCAGTAGGAACTCATTAGCATATTAGGCCACACCCCTGACAGCACAGCTCATTGGCATATTAGGCCACGCCCCGGGAAAGATGGGGAGGCTCCGCAGGCTATTAGCATAACTTATTTGCATATGCCACACCCCCTGACATCACCGGAAGTGTGTCAGAAGGCAACACCCACCGCTCAGGCTCCACTGGACTGTTTTGGATTGCTAGCTATTGGGGGGGGGGGATGTGCAGATCTGTCCTCGCAGAGGAGGGAGAGCTTGTACCTGAATAAAACTTAGCCTTAAAGGTGCCACTGGACTGTTTCGGACCAGGGGGCCAGGAGGAGCTCTGCAACTTACCTGGCTGCTTCTTGCTCTGACTGAGGGCTGCTGGGAGCAGGGGGTGCGGCTTGTTGCATGTGCCCGCCCCCTGGGCTCTTTACTGCCGGAGCTCCGCTCCTGTGCACTCCTGCAGGAAATGACCCCTGCCTTGCTGAGGTCCCTTCACTCCCCAAACCCTGCCATCCCTAGGTTCCAGCTCCTCCAAATCTCTAAGAATTGCCCACCCCAGAGTTGGCAACTGTACATACACTACCCTTATAATCCATTTACCTTCAGTGTAAAAAACACTGTATTTTGTAGGTTCGCATGAGCCGCAGTGGCTCAAGTGGTTAAGACGCTGAACTGCAGGCTGTGGAAGGTCAGTAGTTCAGCAGTTCGAGACCTGAGTGTGCCGCATGACCGAGTGAGCTCCCGTCTCTAGTTCCAGCTCCTGCCAACCTAGCAGTTCGAAAGCAAGAAATTGCAAGTAGATAAATAGGTACTACTTCGGTGGGAAGGTAACAGCGTTCCGTGCGCCTTGGCGTCTAGTCATGCCGGCCCCATGACCATGGAAATGTCTTTGGACAGTGCTGGCTCTTCGGCTTGGAAACGGAGATGAGCACCGCATCCCTAGAGTCAGATTCGACTGGCTTTCGAGCAAGGGGAACCTTTACCTTTACTATGTGAAAAATGTAAGATATTGTAGTCCTAATCAATGTTCCCTCTAAGCTATGGAGCCCTGTGAGCAAAAATTCTACTTTGTGAGCTGCTTGCATTTAAGTTGTGAGCGAGCGATTTGGCTGCTGCATAAATTAGTTTGCTCTGGAGCCACTTTTCCTGAGCCAAGACAAAAATGTGTGAGCCGGAGGCTAAAAAACTGTGAGCTAGCTCACCCTAACTCGGCTTAGAGGGAACACTGGTCCTAATATGTATATAAGTCTAAAGGAATTGGGTGGATTAGATGGATGATCAGATGTGAGTATCTAATCAAGGCCTTTGACAGCACAGAGTGAATGCCCACATTGTCCCGAGGCCTATGGAGTCAATGCTCTGTGTTTGAGAAACACATGAACAAATGAATATGCAATATCCTCCTTTCATGCTGGACTCCAGCCTTCTTAACAGCCCACTTAAATGACTGGCCCTTTCCCTTTACTGTTCCCCGTGCTACTCTTTGGCTTGTGGACAGCTATAGCGGCTTATGAATATTTTAGAGAGCTGTGCTTTCCCAAACCACTTTAACTGAGGAACAGAGAGATATTTAGCAAACTGTGACTAACTTCTTTGCTTTCACTAATCTGGCAGGCTGACAAGAGGTAGAAGTTTTATTTGTGTAATGCCAGCTGGCCTTTTCCACTCAGAATGATCCCTTGGTCTTGTACGTGGATAATGTGGCCTCAGAACCAGAAATTGGATCGTATCAGTGTCCTGCCAATGAAAGTCGATCTTTCCTGCCTTTCCCCTCCACACCAGCAATGTGCCCTGTGAGGTCATTGCCCCGGGTCCCTTACGGATAAAAAGCCGGGGGGGGGGGCTGCAGTGAGGAGGGGAACTGGGTTTCCCGCCCCCTTTCCATCAACGGAACATACAGTCCATTCATTCATTTTTATTACGGTCAGAGACCCATTAAACAGCATACAGAATCAAAAGCAAAAAGCATTACTGTTGTGTATGCTGGCCGCCACCGGGGGCCAGCGTTCTACCTGAGCTTGAGTTCTAAGGGACAATAGGGACTAGACTCCTAGTCCCTCCACTGGGGAACCAATGGGAACCATGGCGGGAGATTCAAACCCACCAATGGTGACCAGGGGTGTGTCCCCAGGTGTGTATATAGTTGGCCTGCCGGCCGTTTGTCTGCATGTTCAGTCTGTACTAATAAAGTGCGCTATGCACCACGTCGTAGTATGTCGTTCCTCCATGCGGCAACCCACTACATTATAATTACAGAGAAGAGACATCATAAGGAACATTGAGGAGGTGCTTACGCTTTGTAAATGCAATAAAGAGAAATTGGGCAACATTCCTTGATATTACAGTGGATTTGTCCTCCAATAGATGTTTCAGCAAACGTTCCTCAGAGTGGATTACTAATTGTCCTTGGTGCCTGAATGACCTTATTATAGGTGTAATTAAGAGGGCTCTTTCTTCTGCATAATAGGAACAATGGAATAATATATGGAAAAGGGTCTCAATTGACTCAGAGGGGCATGAGCAAAATCTCAAAGGCCTAGGGATGCGTTGAAATCTTCCAGCAAGAACTGCCGATGGGAAAGTCTGGAAGTTCCAGCTCCCCGAGCTGCGAGGTTGGCCCATACTAGATCTAGGGCGTTTTCGGTGGTGGCTCCTTCCTGGTGAAATGAGCTCCTGGAGGAGATCCGGGCCCTGCGGGACCTTGTGCAGTTCCGCAGGGCCTGCAAGATGGAGCTCTTCCACCAGGCCTTTGGGTAGGAGCCGCTGCCACTACCCTCGCTATACCATCCTTGATGTACCGTCGACCTACCAGATTCCATGGAGGTGGTTTAGTTTGATTGAGTTGGGGCGCTCCCACTATTAAGTTCGTGGGTCGCGCACATGAGTCGCTGAGCATCTCGTATAAAGTATAGATTTGTATAGATTCAAAGCACCAGTTTTATTGTATATGTAAAATTGTTTTATTGTTTTACTATTTTAAATATTGTTGTTAGCCGCCCTGAGCCACTGGGCAGGGCGGGTTAGAAATCGCAAAATAAATAAATAAAATAAATAAAAATCTAGCTCTGGGAAAAGCCCATCTATGATTTGGGTTGGGAATATTAGCTAAATATAAAGGAGCAGTCATATAAATTTTGGGTTTCCAAGATTTGTAAAGAGGCGAGAGTACAGCATGGGACGTTTGTTGCTCGATATCTCTGCGACGTTGGTGAACGATATATATTTTTTTGCCCCATCGTATCCACTTTCCAGAAGTTGGGGAACATACAGTAATAATGAGCTGTCTGCAGGACTGCCCATGAGCACTGTGCACATTAAGGCTCTGCGGATGCCAGACAGGTCATCCTGTTCCTTTAAAGGGAACCCGCAATCAAGCAGAATGCGCATGAACTCTGTGTGCATGTAAATGCCACACATGCACAGTGACCTGTCAATAGCCTTCTCATTCAGATCTCTGCCTTACCTTGTAAAACTGTTTCGCAGGTATGTTCACCAGTGTTTTTATCCCTCTAACTTTAATGGTACATGACCTTCTGTTTCTAATGCGTATTCTGTATACTAAAGCCACATGAACCCTTAGAGTGCTCTCTTTCTCTCTCTTGGTGAATAGGACTCTTTTGACACAACAGATTGTGTAATAACGGCATAGCTCCTAGTTGGTTGGGTAACATGATTTATTTGTTTGTTTGTTTGTTCAAAAGATTTCTGTGTATTTAGAAGATTTCTGTGACCATTTAGAAGATTTCCTGTGTTTGGTTGCGCAGTACTTTCCTTTGCTAAATCTTCTCTTTGCTTCCTGAGTTTTTTCTTCTCTCTCTCTTCCCCTTTACCCTCCCATGGTCAGGCTTGCCAAAAAGTCCTGGTTTGGTAACTTTATCAACCTGGAGAAAGAAGAACAGATCTTCGTGGTTATTAAGGACAAGCCACTGAGTTCAATCAAGGCTGACATAGTTCATGCATTCCTTTCAGTAAGTACATAAACAAGTTCACATGTACATAAATAAGTGAAACTCGGTGTGTTGTATTCTCTCAGTCTCCATTTTCGGAGACATGTTGTCTTCTTGTTCTCAGACTGTGCCATCTCTATCTTACCTTGGTTCATTTTGAATTTTTCTTTCTTATGTATTCACTTTTCACCCAAACCTGTCAGATTCAGAGCTGGTTTTCTTAACGGAACATAATGGAAACATTAAAAAGAGATTGCCTTCTTAGGCATACTTTCAGGGGTCATTTCGTAGAAAAAGAGCTAGGGGAACTCATTAGCATAACTCATTAGCATATGCCACACCCCCTGACATCACCAGAAGTGAGTCATAAGGCCACACACCCCGCCCCCAACGGTCCTGGCCGCCGCTGCCGGCCTTGCAGCTCCACTGCTGAGCCCCATGAGGGGGCTGCGGTGGCTCAAGCGGTTAAAACGCTGAACTGCAGACCGAAAGGTCGGTAGTTCAGCAGTTCGAGACCCGAGAGCGGCAAGACGGAGTGAGCTCCCATCTCTGGTCCCAGCTCCTGCCAACGTAGCAGTTCGAAAGCAAGAAACTGCAAGTAGATAAATAGATAACACTTCAGTGGGAAGGTAACAACGCTCTGTGCGCCTTGACATGACCACGGAAATGTCTCTGGACAGTGCTGGGTCTTCGGCTTGGAAACAGAGATGAGCACCCCATCCCTAGAATCGGATTCGACTGGCTTTCGAGCAATGGAAACCTTTACCTTTTTTACCTTGGGGCAGCTTTAAATCCCCAAGCAACTTTTAATGTTTTAAAAAAAACCCTGCAGATTTTGGACACAGATGTCCTGTGTATTGTCTAGTTTAGCTATCAGAGTTAGCTGCCCATCTGTAAAATGGATTGGCATTCCTTAAAAGATTCCTTCCTTACAAAATAAAGGTGCATTCCTTAGAAAATAATGGCATCCCTTACAGAGTTATTGTTATTGGGTTAATGTTCATGAATCACTTCGAATACTGCATACATGTTAAGAACTAATTTTAAAATACAGTTATTTTTTCACATGTTCGGTAAATCACATTTTTACATTTACCGTCCATGCCAAAGTCCCATAAGTCCTTTTTCAGTTCTAGTAGCACACTGTCCTACTCTACAACATAAGTATGAAAGATAACCTTGATGTGGGAGGGTAGCTGCACTTAAAAAATAAAAGAAAAGAAAGGTCCCCAAAATGGCAGGTATTATTATAGGTGGAGGTGGGGCTTTTTTGTAGAAAAAGCCCAGCAGGAACTCATTAGCATAATAGGCCACACCCAACAACAGAAACTCACTAGCCAGTTTGGGGTAGTGGTTAAGTGTGCGGACACTAACCTGGGAGAACCGGGTTTGATTCCCCACTCCTCCACATGCACCTGCTGATGTGACCTTGGGTCAGTCACAAGCTCTGGCACAGCTGTCCTTGGAAAAGAGCAGTTTGTGTCAGAGCTCTCTCAGCCCCACCCACCTCACAGGGTGTCTGTTGTGGGGAGGGGAAGGGAAAGGAGTTTGTAAGCCGCTCTGAGACTCCAAGTGAAGGGCGGGGTATAAATCCAATCTCTTCTTCTTCTTCTTCTTCACTAGCATATTAGGCCACACCCCTGATAGTGCAGCTCATTAGCCTATTAGGCCACACCCCCATGCCTTCCCTTGGCTTGCCTAGGCACTCCTTGGCTGCGGGGAGCCCGGGCAAGCCCCCCCTTGAAGGAAAGGCAGTTTAAACTGCCTTCCCTTAGTTTGTCCAGGCGCCCTGCGTCTGTGGGGAGCCCAGGCAAGCCAGCCCTTGGACAGGCCAGGGGAGGCACGGGGAGGCATTTAAATGCCTCTCTGATCCTTCCAGGGCCCCTGAGTCATGGGGGGGGTGTCGCTCTCTAGGCCTTCCCTCTGTAGCCAGGCACGCAGAGGTTTTGGCTGTAGTGGGTGTGGCCAACTCTGAAGCCAGCTTCAACTCCGTTCCTGTGCGTTCCTGCCCCAAAATAGCCCTGGGCGGAGGCATAGAACTGCTACTATACATTTGAAAAATAGGACTCCGTGTGTGTTTCAGCTGTACAACAGAGGAGCACGGAACTCTAGATAATTTGTTTTTAAGTCTAACCTCCAATCACTTTATTTTTTGATAAAGATTTATAAATGAAATGTAGCATGATGTAGTGGTTTAAGAGGGCTTGGATTAGGCGATGCGACCTCCACTCTGGGTGATCTTGGGCCAGTTTCTCTCTCCGCCTAACCTAACAGGATTGCTGTGAGGATAACATAGGGAATGGGAAACCATGTACACCCCCCTGAACTCCTTGAAAGAAGGCTGCACTAGGTAGGTAGAAATGGCTCTGTAATTGTAAACGGTAGTTGCAACACTCATAATGGCATGGCACATAGTGTCCAACACATGCTCAAGAAATGGTCAATCATATTCCACCCAATAGCTACAATAGCAGCTGCTGCAATCTCTGGAGGGACTATAGCATCTTGCCATCTGCACAATGTTGAAGTTCGAGCATTTGGGTGGGGGGGATTGAGCTATCCCCACAACAGAAGGGAAGGTGGTGCAACAAATGAGAACAAAGCACACATTTTTATTGTGCAAACCAGTTTATTGTGCGGAAAGGTCCTATAATCTATACATAAAAAGGTAAAGGTAAAGGTTCCCTTGCTCGAAAGCCAGTCGAGTCCGACTCTAGGGTTGCGGTGCTCATCTCCGTTTCAAAGCCGAAGAGCCAGCGCTGTCCGAAGACGTTTCCGTGGTCATGTGGCCGGCATGACTAAACACCAAGGCGCACGGAACGCTGTTACCTTCCCACCGAAGCGGTACCTATTTATCTACTTGCAATGTCTTGCTTTCGAACGGCTAGGTTGGCAGGAGCTGGAACTAGAGACGGGAGCTCACTCCGTCATGCGGCACACTCGGGTCTCGAACTGCTGAACTACTGACCTTCCACAGCCTGCAGTTCAGCGTCTTAACCACTTGAGCCACCGCAGCTCCAATCTATATATACAGAACACTTATTTCATCTAGCTCCAGTGACCTTAGAGTTTAGGAATACTGCCCCTGCTGACATTCTGAAGTTGCGGGTCCTCGATTCTCCCTTATTAAAGATGGTTCCTGCGGTACTCCTCATTCTAAATCATTGCATGTTTGGTTGGGAAAGCATTTTGTTTTAAAAATATCAAGTCTCGGGTGCAAAATGGTTTTTTCCAACAATCAAGTTGCCTTTTTAAAAGTGTGTTGCCATTAGACCCACAATCCTTTTGTTTATTTCTCTGTGATCCAGATTCCCAGTCTCAGTCACAGTGTCATCTCACAGACAAGCTTCCGTGCAGAGTACAAGTCCACAGGTGGCCCCGCTGTCTTTCAGAAGCCAGTGAAGTTCCAAGTGGACATAACCTACACAGAAGGTGGGGAGGCCCAGAAAGAGAATGGGATCTACTCAGTCACTTTCACACTTTTATCAGGTAACTACGGTAAGCTTGCTGTCCGCATTCAGGATGATAAACACTGGCAAAGTAGCAAGAGTTACCTCAGATGTTTTGCTTGTTTGTTCCGTTGAAACATTTTTGGGCTGATTTCGCACAAGGCGCTGTGCCGCCGTCATGCCTCCCTTTGCCCCGTTTCCATTGGTCAATTTCCCACTCGAAGCCACGCAGCCGCATTTTGACCTGTGGCTTCACCTGATTTTCCCCGCGGTTTAGTGATCCTCAAAAAACAGGAATCAACATAGCTTAACGTAGCTGGGAAAACAACGACTTCTAGACAGCACAGGAATCATGCAGAGTTGGGACTATGATGCTCCAATGTGTAAACTAATCATTTGGATCTGAGGGGTACAAAAAGAATTATGCAGGAAAAGTAAGGAATTTTATAGCCTCAGTGAGAAGGGTGTCTCAGGATGGGAAGACAGGGACCGATTTCACACAAGAGCTGTGCTGTGGTCGCGCCTCCCTTTTCCCCACTTCTATTGGTCAATTTCCCACTCGAAGCCACGTGGCTGCATTTTGACCCATGGCTTCACCCGATTTTCCCTGCGGTTTCGTGATCCTCAAAAACAGGATCACGAAACCCCGGGGGAAATCAGGCGAAGCCGCGGGTCAAAATGCAGCCGCGCGGCTTCGAGTGGGAAATTGACCAATGGAAACGGGGCAAAGGGAGGCATGACGGTGGCGCAGCTCCTTATGTGAAATTAGCCAAATGCAGTTTTCTGCATTTAGGCAAAAAGAATCACATGCACAGGTATAGGTTGGGAAATACCTGGCTTGGCAGTAGTATCTGAGAAAAGGATCTCAGGATTGCAGTTGATCACAAGCTGAACTTGAGTCAGCATTAATAGAATTAGGCTGCGGTAACAGTCATGGTATCCAAATCACATGAAGTAATAGTTACACTGTATTCCATAATCATCAGACCTTATCTGGTTCTAGTTCTGAACACCACATTTTAAAAAATGATATAGATAGAACTGTTTCACAGTGAAGAGTCACACATATAGTTAGAACCTGTTCACACTGAATCGTGTATCTACTGCTGTTGTAACCAGCCCTGAGTCCGCTTGCGTGGGAGGGAGGGCTAAAATTCCAATGAATAAATAAATTAAATAAGATGGTCAGGATCTGGAAGAGAAGTTCTGTGAGAAGTTCTTTTCCTGGCTTGAGGTGGCCTAAAAGTCACAATTAAAACATTACAATTTAAAATTGATAGAATCTATATATCTGATTCTCAACCGTCCTGTGTGTTTGGATACTTATTTCCGCAAACAGAGCGCACACTCTCCCCCAACAGGTTTTTCTACAGACTTGGGGATTCTGTAGGTCTGCAGAAAAATCCAAAAAGTTTTTTTTAAAAAGAAACTTGGGGAGGGTTGAATTCCCCACCCATACATTTTGAAATGGCTGCCGCAGGGATCTACTCCAGGCCCTGCCACATCGACAGTGGGAGAAGCAGAACTGGAGTTGGGACTGGGGAGGATTCCTCCTGCAGTATGAATGGCTAAATAATCTGAGCTTCTCGCCCCTACCTCTTTTGCGGCGGGCCCCACTGTCCTTTTAACTTTCGGGGGGGGGGCTTCTAACTGGCT